TAGACATTTCTAGTTTATTCAGCGGTTGTCTAAGTTTATCTGCATTTCTAGTGGGATAATTATGATAGTCTGATAGTCTGATTGGGTGGAGAATATACTTTTCTTTTTATGGATCTCTAACAAAGTGTTTAAAATAAATATACAAGGCAAAGGCAGAATTTTGTTAAAGATGAAGATAGGTTGACATAGTTCGTTGAATGAAGCTCCAGCTATTATTCTAAGTGCTTTTTTTGCATACGGCAAATCTTTTGAGCATGACAGGATTGTCCCCATAGGAGAGTTCCATACATTAAATGGGAGTGAAATAGTGAGTAATACGCAGTTAGTTTATTGGTACTTATAAATCTTTTCAGCTGGCGAAGAAGGTAGAACTGAGTTGACAATTTTTTGCATAGAAAGTCAATATGATTTTCCCATTTAAGTGAGTCGTCAACGATTATACCTAATAATTTTACGTGCTTCTGTGTGGTTACCCTATTATTTGAAGATATAACTATTTGTTGAGATTTTCCCCTATTCAATTTCAAATTATTGGAAGTAAACCAGTTTACAGCCTTTTCTTCAATTTCATTGGTCTTGTCGAGTAGTTTACTCATGTCGGAGTTGGAGTGAATCATTGTTGTATCATCTGCAAAACAGGTGACTGTGCTAGGTAGTAGGCTTTGAAAAATACCATTCACATATATTACAAAAAGTATAGGTCCAAGGATTGACCCCTGAGGTATGCCATGGGAAACTACTTTCTCTACAGATAATTCCCCGTTTGTGCAGACGGCTTGTTTCCTTCTGGTTGAGTATGAATTAAATAAGTTCAAGGCTGTACCTCTTATTCCAAAAATTTCAAGTTTACAGATAAGGAAATTGTGGTTGACACAGTCGAAGGATTTACTCAAATCCCACAATGTTAGCGAGGTGAGTTCACCACTCTCCACATGTTCGATAACTTTTTGTATTATCTTTCCCACTGCTTCTATTGTAGATCTATTCTTGATGAAGCCAAATGTTTAAATAATTGGAGAGGCGCTTTTTAATTACAATTTCTAGTTATGATGCACTGTTTGGAACCTTTGGTGTAGTAATGAATATTACTGGAAGATTAAAGAGGAAGATTAAAACCAGTTTTAATCTTCCTCTTTGAAGATGATCACTTGGTGATCGAAACACGTGTCGAGGTGTTAAAAATAACGATTTGGTGTTGGGAAAAAACTCCAGTATTTAAATTATTGAATTCTTCACTATCCGATGGGTTTATTTTTTTGGGCTTGCTGTATTTCTTGATATTGAAGGCACTACCTAAATATTTAGGATCGTCTCTGGCTGGATCTATGCCATGCTGGTAAACAGAACTGCAACTACGACTCTTCAAGGCGAGGCCATTAGGTTAAGAGTCACCAGGAGTTACCCTCAAGGTGGGGTACTATCTCCCCTTCTGTGATCGCTCCTGATGAATAGTCTGCTTGATGCTCTCGATAGAAGAAAAGTAGATCTGCAAGCTTACGCAGATGACCTTGCAACCTTGGCAAGGTCCACGTCGGAAAGGGTAGCTTGTAATATCCTCCAGCACGTTGGACGTTGTTCACTGTTGGTGCCTAAGGGAGCAGATGTTGAGTGATCTAACGCCAGTTTTCCTCAATGGTGAGGTCATTCTATTTGGAACGGAGGTGAAATATCTTGGTATTGTCCTTGATAAAAGACTCAGCTGGAACGCTCAAGAAGAGAGGACTGGATACTCCGGGAGAAGGAAATATTAAGAGCAGATAGTTGTTGGTTCACCTTCCGGTTCTGGCGCAGGTGTTTTCAGTCGCAGACTCAGGACAGAGATATCAACCTGCCTAGGAACCTATGCGACTGTATTTCAAGCGGAAATTTATGCTATTAAGTTGTGTGCAGAGAGATTGGAAGAACCCAACCTCACACACAAGTCAATAAAAATATTTTCGGCTTTGAAAGCTTCTGGCTCCTACAGAGCAATGTCTAAATTGGCACCAAATTGCCAAAAACGACTCTCCTTGATAGAAAGACTTAACAGGTTGTCTCTGGCCTGGATTCTTGGCCATACTGGCCTTGAAGGCATTGAGGCTAACGACTCCCTTGCAAAAGAGGGTGCTGCAAGCAGCTTCATCTGACCAGAACCTGTCATTGGCATGGCTTTTGGCTTTGCCAAACAAACATTGAACACCCGGATGACAAAAAGATTCATGGACTTCTGGCAGAATATTTCAGGAATGGCTCACTCCAAGACGTTTATTCACCAGTTTCAAATGGTAATGGCTCCACTACAGCAGGATATAAATATCACGGAATCCCATGTATGGGTGGTTTTGTACGAAAACAATACAACTCAATTTCATTGGAGGAGATTCACATATGCTTTGCAATATTTTGACCACATTATTGATTACCCCTGACCTTCAATTTGTTCAGTAAAAGTGCAAATATTCAAGTTGGTGATTCATCATATGTATTCAAATTGATTTTTAATGGTTGTGAAAACCGCAATATCATAATATAAGCAAATACGGTTTGCGATACTAGGAATTCTTCTCAATGCATCTACTCCTCATTAAAAACCCATAAAAAAGGAATCGTCTTTAGTTTTCGTGTTTTTTCCGCACAGAAAATTGAATCTCTCATCACTTGCGAAGTTTCTTATCTCAGTTTGGTGAAGATTTGAAATGGTTCGTGTTAGGAGTATTTTCCACAACTTGTGCCCCAGACATAATAATTTTTATAGCGTGAGTAGATATGAGAAAGAGTTTACTTACTTATGTTTTGAGAGCAAAAAAAATACAAATAGTTAAACTATCTAAAAAAATTTGTAGGTCATCCACGATTATTTTATTTTTGAATACAACTAAACACTTATGATGCACTGTTTGGAACTTTTGGTGTAGTAATGAATATTACAGGAGTTTTTTCCCAACACCAAATCGTTGTTTTTAACACTTCGACACGTGTTTCGATCACCAAGTGATCATCTTCAAAGAGGAAGATTAAAACTAAGAACTACTGCGAGCTAATCCTATTTATGCTATAAAGGTAACCCATACAGGTAAACCATTCAGGCGTATCAACCATTCAGGTACACCAACCTAAATTAATTTTACAATTTTGCCTTATCTATAATTTTAC